TCCAAATGCCTGTTTCCACTGGGTGATAAGAGGACTTAAGCACAGGTGCAAAGGTTTGGTACTTGAATGGCTAAGTACTGGAGAACTACTAAAGAGCAGAAGGAATACTGTGTAAAAATACTATGATTTTTATGGCCAAAGCTTATGCAGCATCAGTGTTTACCCAAACTGAGCAAAACCAGGGTTGAACAAAAGAAGCATGGTTTAACAGGGACAAAAGGATATTCACCACAGCAGAATAATTAGTTGGATTATTTTGATGTAGAGATGAGGTGTAAAAGGCTTTCTATACTGTGGAGTACTTACCCTTCCTTAAAAGGTATTCCATAAAAACTTTCTTTGCTGATCATGAGCTGACTGTAAAACAAGAAATACATGGTCTCTAATGATGAATTTTAGGGGAAGAAAGCCACCCGTCCCTCATCTCCTTTCAGCAGAAGTTAACTTATGGGTGTTTCTGACAGTAAGCCAAGAGCTGCTCTGCCCAGTAAGAGGCCAGTAGAGAGAACTTGGCCATTGAGTTCGTGGTGGACATACACTGCTTTGAAATGAGCAGACGTGATGTTAGTTCCCAAATGGCAACGCTCCTAGTTCTTGGTAAGGGAGCTGGTTTTAGGACAGGTGGATCTTCTGCACATGCTCCACCGTGGATTTCCAAGGGAGTCTGGCGTGTGTAGTGTTCCTGGTTTATATTTGACTAGGAACACTTCCAAGAATCTCTGTTCACGCACTTGTTTGGATAAGGGCCCGTTGCATCACCTCAGTTAGCTTTTGCACTGCTTTCCCTCCCTCTCTGTTTTTGCACTCTTCTTTCTTAATTTGTCACGCTAGCAGGTAAATGGAGAGAAAGTGAATTTATCTTCTGAAACACATTTTAAGTTACTACCATTTATCTAAAGCACCTACTTCATCCCCTTCAGTAAAATAATGATGTTGTTCATTAGTTCCTCTAGCTGCTCATGGCTAAATGCTCCGTAGTCAGATTGCTCTATTTTTTCTCTCCTATCAGCCACTTATGAAAGTCAAACATTTGTAATAATGCTATTGGGTTTTCTTGGAAGACTCTCAATTCTGCTGGTGCTTTTAAATAAAATATCTCTAGATGAATGGGACTTGGTTTTCCATGTCCAAGCCAGCATTGTACTGTTGGACACTTCAGTTAACATCTGCATTTTCCCCTGACTTTTTTGTTGCCCTCTAATGGAGTGTTTAGAGTAGTTCTTCTATCCCCTTTCTCTTTTGGGACAGATGCTGTTGCTTTTAGGTATCATCCTGGTTTTGGCTTAGTTATTTAATTGGATATACCTATGTTTAAATTAATTGTGGAACAATTGGCAGTAGTTTGAGTATCCAGCACACTTTAAGAGCATATTGGAGTCAGCCGTTAGCTCTTCTTGTGCAAATGGTGCTTTTCAGTTTATGTTGCGCTCTAATTGAGATGCTGCAACTAGGCTTTGAGGTCTGTCCCTGTTTTTCAGAGAGCAAGATTGCTTACACTTCAGGTTTCTAAGCCCCTTTCTAGGTCCTAGGCAAACGTCTCTGTTGAGAAGCAGGCCAGCTCTTGACCTGGAACTTGAGGTTCTTGATTTAAATTCAGCCTTGTCACAAGTTTGGTTTTTTTTAAATGTTAGAGCACTTTGAAAATCAGATTTGTATGTGTTAACCATCTAACAACATGGGTAGATGTACATTCAGTGAGTAACAATGTATATACGATTTTGAAGCCTGAGAAATTGTTACTGGATGAGAAACCTGTATGTCTGGTTTAACAGTTTTGTTAATGAAGCCTTAAATTTCCATCTGTCTCTTTAGGAAGATGGAAATCTCCCTGCTCTCCATGAAGTCCATGTTAATCAGTTTATAGACAGGAGGTTAGTGGCCTGGAAGGTAGGACCGCAAAATTCAGGTAGCGTATAGGTGCTATATATCATGAATATGGCCTCCACATCTAAAAAAGCTACTCAGAGCTCTAAGATGAGACTGATCAACAACCATACTCCTTCAGTATAACTAAAATCTCATGTACGGAACAGGTACAATTTTATTCAGACTGAGGAGTGTGGGTATCTAAATGAAGAGCTGTCATAACCTTACTTTCCATGCTATAAGTAAGGCATGTTACTGAAACCTTGCTTTCTTTAACATAAATAAGTAGTTATGGTCTAGAAGGAAAGAAAACAGGAAACAAAATCCTAACTGTTTCCCTCAAAGAAAAAATACAGTCCAAAAGCCAGCAGACAAACCTGAGTCCCTTTCCATAATAGCGTTGCAGTGAATACACTCCTTCCCTTGAGGGAAAGTACGAGAAAACAAACAACATAAGAGAAAGTCTCGCCGGTTTAAATTTGCAAGTGGGAGGTGTGCAGACATTATGGTTGTGAGTATGTTATAAGAACCTACGTAGAGCAGGCTGGTATGTGTTTTCCACATTGTATAATGGTTGCATATTGACAGACTCCCAAACGCTTTGCGTGGCAGTTCACAGTTCTGGTGTGTTGTCTTTGCAAAATGATTGGCACACCCTCAGGTCACACATAGCCGAGGTAAATGGTGTCCTGCTCAGTTACCGAGAGGTCTGTGGATGCTTAAAAATGTTGTGTTTGTAACCTTTGAAACTGCTATCTGGTGGCTGGTCTTTATAGTATTACTGACAACAGATGGCAAATGGCTCTGCTGATGTAATTCTTGCTAGCGTTTCATTCCTGTGAAGTTGCACAGTTTCAGAATCTCAGAAAGGGCCTCCATATTTTTTCTGCGTAATGGTTTCAAGCCAAACTAAATAAAAACATTTTATATTAGTCAAATTCCCATGGTGTCATGTGACATTTTTGCAATGATTGCCTTGCAGCAGTTTCAGATAAGTGCACGTTTGGTAGCAATTTAAGGCCTGTGTCCTTTAAGTAATGCTTATTAGTACGTAACAGATGCCGTTTAGAAACATTACGCCTTTTAATAGGCTCTGCTTTTAGACTTCATGTTCTCATTCCAGGCAGACTGTGGATCAGGCAAGCTTGGAGGTATTCTGTCGTTTATGCAAAGCCTAAGTCAATTTTCTGCTCTGAAGTCAAGCCATGTGTTTTTCCTTGTTTCTTCCATTCTGGTCATAGCTGCCTTGCTGTGTTTTTCCCCCCAGTCATATCTTTGGCTGATTGTCAAGCCATTACAATCAAAACCTTTTGCATTTTTAACCGCCAGCCGTGGTTTCTTTTGTCCTTACAGAAGAGCCTGTGTAAACTGAATTTAAACAGCCTCAGCCTTACTGTCAAGAACACAGCAAGCACAGAGTTAGCCCTCTGTTGCCAGCCTGTCCATCCTTCTCTGCTTCTTCCTCCTCCCAAAAGGAGAAAAAGAGAAAAGCAGAGCTGTGCTGCTTTTGGAGCACCTTCAAAGACATGTAGAATAGCTAACACAATGGCACAGAGAAACAAGAGAGATGTTTACATTTTTCCTCCACTACATGCAGCTGTTTATTAAAGCAAGTTCTGAGACAGGCTGGGAGGCTGGTGATTGCTAGCACAGGTGACGTATTCATTTGCAGCCACATAATAAATTTAGCAAAGCGGGAATTACTGGGGGAAGGGATTTTTTTGGTTTCTTTCTATTTTTTGCTCTAATTAATTGCTTTATTTTGAGATTAGTCTAGCTGTACAAATTGCTCCTTGCAAGTAATTTGGAGAAAGGCTGCTGGGCTTTCTTGGGCAGACGTGCACTCTGCTGGTGGGAGCAGCAGATTTGTCAGATGTGTGAAGCTCAATTTATGCGGTATCTGAAACTGGTATCCCCAAAAATCTAGACAGTTGTCTCATGTTTTCATTGCTATATCATTTGTTTGGGGACCAATGTCCTTCCTGATAGCAAGCCAGGGCTTTTGGGTACCCTTCTTATGCCACACATGCTGCCATAATTTATATAAAATGAAGGTGAGGGTTGAGTGTAGTATGGCCTTAGGTTTCCCACACCTGCTGTGAATGATGGTAACAAGGAAATGTATTTAATGCGGTACTTAATACTAGTGCTGGTGCCAGGCTGTGACAGTGGGTGTTTCAGTAATAGTTTTAAATACTCCTTGGTCTTAAAATGTGACTATTTTCTGAAACTGTCCTAACTGGCAGCCTGGCTGGCTTCTCCTCACATGAAATCATGTTGATGCTAGACCATTTGCCAAACTCAGTTGTCATTTCCTGCCACTTCATTATTCCTTGTCTTTCTTTTCTCTTAGGTTATGGGATGACTTTTGGCCAATGAATCCTCTTTTCTGTCTTCCATTGTTGCAAAGGATTGAATTAACGCTGTCTACATTTGAATTTGTGATTCGTAAAAGCTCTGCTGTTGTTCACAGAACCTTTTCTGTCATTTCCCTTTCAAATCAGCCTTTCTGAATAATGAAAATACTTCAGTGTCATTCAGGGCCTCCAGTTTCTTCTTTGCTTAGATTTTGGGAGTCAGACTTTAAGCTGAGGTCAGGCATGTACTATGAACTTCTGCTGGTGTAGCTATTTTGGCTATGGGTGTGATGAGGTGAGATGTGGCACTTCTAAAGTTGTGCCTCTGATATGAACTGAGTCATTCTGGAAAACTTGTGTATTTTTTTTGTATGTTGTATTTTGTTTAGGGAGTAGACAAATAATTAAGTTGAGAAATTTAGCTTTTTTTCTTTACATATACAAGAAAATCCATACTACTGCCTTCAGTAGTTGAAGTTAGACTTTTCCAGGAACATTTCTGCCCATTTCTTGGTTGTATGGAAAACAGTTCATATTAAGAA